AAGAAAGGAAGACCAAAGATGACATGGAGGCGAGCGGTACAGGCGGAAATTGAAAAAGCGGGGACATCATGGAAACAGATAGAAAAGGATGCTCAGGACAGGCTTCGCTGGAGTAATGTTGTTGATGGCCTGTGCTCCACTGGGAGTTAAAAAGGGCAAGAGATAGAGATTATTATTATGATTCATTTGATAAGTCTGCGTCTTTTTCTAGCTAGAGGCACGTAGCGGTATTCATTATATCATAAATTTAAATACAGATAATAATATATAATTAATAGATTACATTTTATTGAACTCGTGGGGGAAATTTGGGTAACAATGACAAACATACATACATAATAATAGATAATAGATAGCATTTGTATAGCGCAAATCCCCGCTCAACAGCAGGCTCTATGCGCTTCACAATCTATTACACTGGCAGACCTGAGAGCATTCTGAAACCACGTCAACTTGCTGGGAAGCATACAGGGAAGCATACAGCATACATAAATACAATTATATAAACACACAAATACACAAAATATATATAATACAAAATATACAGCATTACACCAATGACGCAGTCAAGGAAGCCCTGAAAAATTACAACATCCCAATTGAGAGAGCTGTGGAGCGGACCTACCATAGAAAACTGCATCTCCCCTCAACGTTTAACGGCAACAGAGGATGAAAAAGTAAAAGTAAAGTAGGTATACCAATGCACACAAGTTGAGATCATATACACATGCCATTGCAGGTCGCCACCCTGAATAAAAGATCAGTTTAATATTTTTGCGTACTTTCCCAGCTAGAAGGAAGCGGAGAAATAGAGACATACACAATGAAGGTACTAATGATAACTTTGAGATGTTTACGCCTTTTTTCAGCTAGAGGGCAATACAGAAATCTAAAATGACTACAAAATTAATGTCAGACCTGCTCTAACGGCCACCTATCAAAGACAATCCAATCACGTGACAATGTACAAACTCCGCAACCACATGACATGCCGTAAAGCATTATACTGCCCCTGCGTTACCCCGTAACCCCACAACCACATGACATGCCGTAAAGCACTACACTGCCCCTGCGTCACACTTTGCAAAGAAGACCAATCACAAGTACAAAATACCAGACGTGTGTCTCCCACATTCTGCTACGCCACGACACACCAGAATTTTTGTGAAGCACACAGTTCAAGGGACGCGGACACACGAGATGTATTTACTGCCGGCTCATTCCTACAATAGTTGTGTTTTTTCTCGCTGCTTCTCATTCAACACGACAATAATATTCTCAACATGACCAAAGCCCAAAGCCACCCTGACTCTCCGATCGTCCATGTTGAACTGAGCAGTAGCGTTAAATAAATGTCGCCCGTGCGTGTGGCTGCCACGCAAAAGTAAGCGACACTTTCTGCGCAGAATTTACAACGCGACAATTGTAGCTCGTCTGTCAAGGCTCTGATACAAACACAGCAGTACTTTGACAAAACGCCTTTTTTCTTATTCACGGCAGTTTCGACTCATCAACGAGTTTCAGTTTTCTTATTATAACATTGTTGAGCATAGGAAATGACATTCTCTTCAGGGTGTACGATCAGCCGTTGATGTGCTGTGCAAAATAGTTTAAATATTAGAAGAAAAACGAAAATCTTTGATTTCTCGGAACTGCTGTGAATCAGAAAAATATGTTTTGTCACTGAACGGCAGAACAGACGTGCTGAAATACAACACATCTAAGACGATGACTTGGACAATTCTGTAGTTCAGCAAACGACCTTGTCGGGGG